GCGAGGCTACAGCATTTCTGGCAGCAGCAGCAGCAGCAGAAAATGGAATTTTTATTATTATTGCAAATTAAAAAAGTTTACATTGGCTTAACTATGACAACGCCCCGGCAGGCCAGCAACTATGTAAAAGCCAAGTTTGGAATGTGCCAGGCACTCAACAAAAATTATAGCAAAAGTATTTTGAAGCGAGCGCCGCAAGCAACGAATTCCAGCTACAAACTACCACAGCCAAAATCCTTAAATAGGCTGTAGGCTCACCTGCATTCACCTTGATTGTCGCGCTTTTTATGACAAATTAAATAGCGTCTGCCAACTGTGCGACGAAGCGTGATTATGAGAGCTGCCAACATGCAGCTATCAAAATTAATGCATAATAATAGAAAGTAATAGAAAGTAGATTAGCAGAGAGTGATCGACTTGCAGTTACCCTTTCGGTAGAAGAGGGAAGAATAGACATAGATAGATAAATCAGAATGACAAGTTGTGTGTATATAGCTAGTTCTGTCTGCTCGCATTTCCGTCTGCTTCTAACTCAGCTCAAAATAAGTGTAAATTCTCGCTCGAAAAGGTCTCAAGAGCTCTGCTGGAGTTGTCTCTCGAGTGACTTTTGGGTATAAAAGGGCGTCGCAGCAGCTGTGGGCGATCAGTCAAGTTCATGACCTGGACTGGGTCAGTCGCTGTGTGGTGCAAATGGTGTATAAATTTAAGTTTTTTTGTTAAATTGTTAAGTTTAAATAATTTGTATTTATTTAATAAGCATTGCATTTGTTTAAATAAATATAATTAAGGTGTTTTGTTTAAATGTTAAATATATATAATTTTAGTATTTTAGAAATGTTTACTTATTATTTATAAACACTAATGGTTATAATAATAATTAAGTTCCTTGTAATGTTCATTAGCCATAATGATTATTCGGAATGCTGATCATTTATGTTCATGATGATTGCTAGTAATTATCATTAACGATAATGATCATTAGCAATCTGATGTTTTCTTGATCATTATTGTAATGCTAATTAAGATACGATTCGAATAACCATGCTGTCTTATTGTCTATTAAATTGTTAATTACTAAATTTACTATTGTTATATATTTAATAAACAATTTTCTGCCTTGTGATATAGTTATGTTACTTGCATAGTGTGCAGAAAATCTCTTCTCTTAATTTTTACTTTATTATATATTTAAATATCTACAAACACACATATGTATATATATTTATATTTAAAAATATTTAAAAACAAGAATATATAAATTATTATATATATAAAAATATATTTAATATATTAATTTGTTATGTGATTGTGATTGATATTTAATATATTAAGATCAATTACAATAACATTGACAAATGTTTGCAAAATTGTCAATTGTCTCTCTTTATAAATAGAAAAATGTCTAAAATAAATTTAAAAAAATAGTAAAAAGTCAGAAAAAAATTAGAAAATAGAAAAAAAGCTATATTTATTATATACCTATATATAATGTTTGTATATACTTATATTAAATGCCTTGTGTCTTTTTTGTGCTCAACGATAAATATTAAAAACCACAGATAGGACTAGAATCAGTGTATTTCCTAGTCGGGCACCCCGACTAGAGCTTCCTTACTTGTTTTTTATTAAGTTTGTTGATAAAAAGGTTTGAGTATTCAAATTGCATGAAGACTAAAAAGGTATTGAATTTTTTTAAATTTTTCTTTAATTTTAGAATTAACTTTCTTGAAATGAATTCATATTCGAAATGGGTTTGGGCCATAAAAGCCATTTAGTTGTTGAACCGTGAGGAGTCAGCGTTTTAATAGCTTCGCTGCTTTGCAGAGCTTAGCTGTATCTGAAGTTAAAGTTTCGAGGGTCTACTAGGCAGAAGCAGGTGATGATATTGTTGTTGTTATTGTTATTGTTATTGTGCTGGCTCATTGAAATGAAAAAATTGACATGTTCAAAGGCTGTGACCAGGGCATATGGCAAATGCCATAACGGCGACTGTTAAGGAAGCGGAAAAGGAAAACGGGGCGAAATGGCAAAATGAAATGGCGAAGGCAACAAAGAGGAAACTCGCATTTTCCACTTGCTCAGCAGTAATTCAACAACAACGACAACAACAACAGCAATAATAGAAGCATTGCCAATGCCAAGACATTATTCATGTTGCCTGTCTACCATTTTGGCATTATTGATAGAGTGAGTTGAGCAATTGATTAAAAAACGTTGCCTGGCTCGCTCTCTCTTTATGAATAACTGACGATGTCGAGTCCTACAGACAAATGAAGCACAATACGAACACACACACACACAGAGACAAGGCTTGTGGCATGCTTTGATCTATGTAGGCAAAGCCATCAGCTAACAATTTGATGCTTTAATCCGGACCTGGTTGCCTGATCTAGCTGGCTTGGCCAGACAGAACTGAACCATGAGATTCATTGGGTTTGACGTCGATTTTTTCCCATGAAAATTTTATATAAGCGGGTATATAGGTTTTGCTTTGGTGAAGGAAGAAGTCATGAGGAAAACATAATACTTTTTTTAAATGATTCATCCACTCTACATAACTCTCTAAATTAGTATAAAAAATTACTTTTTATGATTCAGAATTAATTATTTGACTCATAGTCAAACTTTGGTGTCATATTCATGACCCAAATTAATATATATTTTTATTCATATGAGCAACAATGTGTGTAACAGAAGCTCAGCCCTTTGGGCAGGGTATTCGCTAGTCATGCTCAGGCCGTACTCTTATTTGTTGTGTTCTCTTTTTGTTTCCTTAGCTGCCTTTCACTGTTGTGTGGTGTCATTCGTGTGTCTCTCTCCTTTCTGGTGTCATATTATGGAAATTCAAATCCGTACCGATTAGAGGCAACATGTGGAAGACTGAGTTTCGTCCTTCCACACACATACACTCATCCTCTCTCTCCGTCTCTCTCTCTCTTGCTGCGTTGCTCTCTTTCTATTTCTATTCCGCTTGCATAGGAATTAGAGCACTCAACCTTGATATTCTGGTGCACAGCTGAGCTGAGCCAGGAGCTTTACAAGTATACCTACCTACAGATGCGACCTCTGCTATTGACTGGGCAAATGAGCAAATCAGCTTGTTGCTTCGCTTCAATAAATGAAAACGGAAGCTGCACAACTTTTCGTGGTAAGACTCTCTCTCACTCTCTCTCGTCCCATGCTCGACGCTCTGAGTCAGGCATTTGCTTATTAGAAGCCATGGCATGACATTTAAATGGAATTGTATTTGAGCTCACCTTGAGCACACTCCCTGGCCCACTCTGTCGAGTGGCAAGTGCCATTTGCCGTGGTTTCTCTGCTGAAACCTCATTTGCTTTTGTGGTAGACCGACGGATGCGACGGATGCACAACATAATTAAATAGCAGGAAAACTAGTTTACTCCATCAGCCTCACTCAATAGTCGCTGCACTTGACTTGCAATTGCCAAGCCAATAGCAAGCTGATTCGATTCTGTTAAGTTAATCAACTCACCATATTGCCAATGCTACCTGTTGAGGTCTGTTTGCTCCGCAGTGCAGGACTCTAATATCATTTTATTATTATTGATTTAGATTTCCACTTGAGCGGGGCTGTGCAAGGGTATGCAATAGGTGTAAGAGAGAGTGGGAAAGACAGAGGCTTGCGGGTGACTCCATAACTAACAGCTCAATCAATGCAGATGGATCTGGCTGCTGCTCAACTATTCCTTCACTTGAACATGTCAATCTCGACATCGGAAAAAGCAAAATATTGATAATTTCAAATGTTTATTCAGATAGACTAAGCGCGGTATAAAACAAACATTTTATATTGATATCTCATCGCATTTAATTAATATCGATAAATATCGATTTTTTCATTTAGTGCTTGACACATAACTCGAATACTATAAAAGCGAGAGACGTCAAAATGGATATGTAGATGCAGATTTTCAGATGGAATGTGAGGAATATGAAATTTTCTACTTTAGCAGGATTATAAATATAATATGAATATTTCCCTATAGATGCAAGTTTTACATAACAGAGTCTGACTAGTTGCGTAGACTCATGTAGATGTCATAGATGTCATGGACTGGAAATTTGATTAAGATTGTTCAACGAGAAGCCCAGTTCAATCAGTCTATTTCTCATAGTTGGAGGTTGTGGAACCAGCAGAGCCACGGTACGGTTAGAAGTTCACATTCTTACTATATATATACATGTATATACATATATATATGCATGCATATAGAGGAGTCCTGGAATGTTTGTAAAAACAGTTCATTTACTGGGTTAGGGTATTGCCTAGTCATGCACTCCCCACTACAGTACGCCTTCTTGTTACTTAACGCATTTCCCAGCTGCATCGTAAAGCTAAGATGTCTGCTGAACTGAGCAGCTGCAATCTGAAGGCTGTTCGAATGGGATTTGGATTGGCTTCGACTCGGTTATTGTCTAGACAAATGGCACATTACTCGAGTCTATTAAGCTCTAGCCTGAGTTCCATTAAGTGTTGATGCGCAACTTTTACTAATGCTGGCTGGGAACTTATGAACTTTGTTGATCTTATTCAGTGTCTGGTGTGGAAAACCCTACATGACAGATACATTAAGCGCAAATTGTAAAGGCAGCTTTGTGGGCGGGTGGCTGACTCGTGGCCCGTGGTCAGCTTGTGGTTTGTGCGTTTTACAGCAAATCAATGATCCGCCCAGTGGGCTGTGAAATTTTATTAGCACAAAATGATTTCATGTGCCAAATATTTGGTTAAATTGGCACTGACTGTTCGTAATGTGAAGGCTGTGCCCAGACGCTTTTGGTTAATGGCAACGCGGTCTGAATTTTACGAGCATTAACGGAGCGTATACGCAATGTGCGTTACAAATGCTAGCCACGCGCCCGAGTTGAGCGTTTAAGTGCACTTTGCCTTTAATCTGCAAGCAGATTTAATGTGCTTATCGACGATGAAAATGAAGATGAAGACGATGATGTTGATGATGATGATGATGATGATGATGACGATGATGTTTAATGCTTGGTGTCTTCTCGTTGCAGGCATTTGGTACAACAGTGAGCGAGACCACCGCGATTGGGTACGCGTTGCCGGGCGATAGTACCCATTGTACCCTGTCAAAGGGTTGAGACCATCATCACTGCGCAAATCGTCCTACTCCAACAGCAGCAGCATCAACAACAGCAGCAGCGCTTGTCCCCCGCCGCCGCCCACGCCGCATCAGATCCAAACCAACGCCAGCACCAGTCAGCACCAAAGGCACCAACAGCAACAGCAGCAGCAGCAGCAGCAGCAGCAGCAACAGCATCCACAACACAGACGCAACAGCAGCAGCTTGGCAGCGAAACCTGTCATCAATTTGCTCAGCAATCGGCAGCAGTTCAACTACTTTGAGTTCCCATCAACGACTCGCAGCGGCAGCTCGTTGCTGGCCAATCGATATACCGCTGCAGTCTCCACACCAGCGCTCGACTGCACTCCCAGCAGCAGCTGCCACAGCAACTGCAACAGCAGCAGCTACAGTTCTGCGGTTGCCAAAGCGGCTGCTTCGACTGCTTGTGCACTACTTGCCACGTGCCACGTGTCCACAGCCCCAGCAACAGCCACAGCATCAACCTCAACCCCAACCACCTGTCAGCAAGAAACCACAAACAGAGCAAGCATGGGCCGGCGTGAGATTAAACGTTCCAATACCAGCGGCTCCACCTCCAGATCCTACGACAGCGGCAGCGGTAAGTGCTTCTAATACCCACTGAGAGCAGCAACATCTACGAGTGCTCTCAGCGGCAGTGCTACTGTGACCTGCATGCTGAGGCACTTTTCCAACTTGTAGCACTTTGATGCGTTTCTTTGATCATTTTCGTTAATTACTTTTGCTTGCAGCTGTGTTCTTTAGACACATTATATTCAAATTTAAACAGGGAATTGGAAATTATTTTATTTTACAATATTTGAGATTCTTTAAATTGGTTTTCTTAAGCTTTGGGTATATTGAATGAGATGTAATCCTGGAGAATTTGTGGGCATGGAAAAAGGAAGAAGAAGTTGAGTAGAGCGCTTAAGTAACTTGGATTTTTTATCGATTGATATCGATAAGTTATCGATCTATGTGTATTATAAGAGCAGCTTATTATAGAAGACGCTCCTCAAGTCTTTTGCTTCTATAGGTTGCTAGGAAGACCAGTTCCTGCAGACAAGCTTTGGATATATCAACTCGCATGTACCGAATGCTAAAGTAATTCAGATTTGTTATCGATATCTGTGAGCATAGAAGCTGCTAATATTAAAGGCTCTCTTTAAGTCTTTAGGCTCAAAGAGAGGAACAGACAGACATTCAGACAAAGCTTTGGATGTATTAACTTTTATATATATTAAAGGTGCTTAGCCACGCCCTGTTCAGCCCATTGAGCCATTGTCGAAGCAACAGCATTTAGCTTAGGCCCATTTAAAAATGGCTGACCAACTCTGTGGTCCACAGCAAATGAAACGCACAAATCAATTAAGCCAAAGACAATATGGGAGCTGAGTAGAGTAGGCGTGGCATCGTGAAAACCGCAACGTAATCGGCTTAGAGAGTCGCTGGAAGGTCTGTAAATACGATTGCGAGTGACACTGAGCTGACAAATTAAATCAACTGAGATTTGCTGTCAAGTTGTCAACCAGCTGTCTGGAGAGTTGAACATGTGCAGGCTTCCAGGGATAGGCTAAGCGAAAGGAATGCCAATTGGCTGTACATGAAATGCATATATACATTACACTAAATACGACATACATAAACAGAGAGCACAAGCAACGCAGCTACTTGTGAACGGTGGAGAGCATTTATTAGTCTTGGCACAAAATATAACTTAAAATATATGACAACATTATGTTAAGCGAGTTTGAGTATTACATTTATAGATGGACACGTAAATATATATGAATATATGTATTATAGTCTACATATATCCACACGCGACAAGAACGCTTCTCATTTACTTGGCTCCAGTCCAAGCCGAACTCTTCAGCATTTAGCTGTGATGTCGACTCGCTCATCGATGAGTAGTAGATCAGCAATGAACTTATATCTTAGAAGTCAGCTTACTATTAATGAAACACCAATCTCTTAGCCACAAAGCAGACAAGTGAATGCTTTGAGCTTTGAAGTGAAGACAACTCACGACACAGAAGCGATCTTGGGCTGCCGCTGCAGCTGTGGCAGTAGCAAAAGTAAAGAAAGAACTTTTTTATTGGAAAGTCTCGTTAAAGAATTAAATATATATATTTTCAGATGCGTAAGTAACTGTTTGTTGAGCAGTGTAAACAAAGCTTTCGACTAGATTTCTGTTGTTCCATCAGTTCCATTAGCCTAGGACTAGGTCTATCAAAAAACCAGTAACCAAATATTGTAAAAGCGAGGCAAAACAATTGATGAAAAGGTCAGTTAAATGTTAATGAAATTTAGTTAGTTAAATTGCCATAACAGACATTATCTACTGCATTCAAGTTAAATGCAGCAATAGCAAAATTACGTCAGGTGAGCGGGATGACTGAGAGGTGGCAATAGAAAGACAAATTTGTTTTTGAATATGGAAAGTTATTGGATCTGCAAGTACTACTACTCTAGGCCAACATCCACAGAAAAATCAGTATGTGTCTAGGAGATATTACTTGTGGAAAGAGTTGCTGAAGTGAGAGCAGGAGCGGGAGATGCGGCTGTAGATCAGCTTCAAGCGCTGATATCTCGGTGATAAGACAATCTTTTAAATGAGATATTAAAGCGTGTAGGGAGGTAAAGAGTAGTACTTTAAGATAAGGTAAAAGTTTGTTTTAGAAAGTTCTCAAATGAGCGCGAAAAGCAACTGCCAAAAGGCTGACGAGATTAGTCAATGCTGCTGTCAGAGCACGTTCGACTCCGTTCGACTCCTGTTTGGCAAATTAAGTCCAATTGCTCAAGAACTAGGAACAAGTAGAGAGTATTTCGGCGAGACTATGCTCGCAGCTCTGACGATGGAAGCAATCGTATAACGAGCCCAGATTTTCTAGGCTGCAGCAGAGCTGCGAGGCGCGATGACAGGTCGTGCCTGATGGATAGTCCGGCTCCTTTGGGTATAGCACGGCATCTGCGAAATAACAAATCAAATCGATTTCTTTGGCAAAGCGAGTCGGACACATGGCTCCATAGCCAGCTCACCTTGGCGAAGCGTGGGACGTGCTTGTGCCTGCGGCCTTGGCTGCAGCGTGTTTCCCCAAGGCGGCGACGCCTGGAAAGAGGGCGCACTGAAGCCTGCAAAGAAATGGAAGTGTAAGCGCATGCATGCGAGTGATTAGCCAACCAATAAGAACTTAATTCATTTACACTCCACCGAGCACTGGGTGCAGCGACCCAACGACCCAGCGCCCCAGCGCCCCAACATTATGCAGTTAGTAACTGTGGCAACAATAGCAACTGTTGCCAAGGTTGCATGCCACACATTTGTGTTAGATGTAGGTTAGATAATGCCTCACTCCAGTTAGAAACAACTTTGCATTGAATGAGACAGCATTTGGTTAGAGGACAAGAGAGATCTATATAGATACAATAAATAATTGATTACTAAAGCAAGTGGAGAGGGGAAAGTATAGAGAAGAGCCATAGAACCACATTGAATAAGTAAAATTCCTTGCTGTCGGCGATGACCGACTACATGATACTCGCACACACTCTTGCTGACTTGTCATATAAGAGAAGCGGTTAAGTCATAGATGATATATAGAGCAGCTCATGCAACTGGAAATCTTGAGTTTTCCGAGCTGAGAAAGTTATTGATTTTCTTTACGCCTTAAAAGAATGGGGTGTATACGACTATATATAGTGGATGGATCCATGAAGAGGTGGCTGGAAGGACGGACAAACAGACAGACGTGTGGACATAAGGACAGACAGACTCAACCCATATACTCGTTTTCGAATGGTGATCGTGTATATTAAGTAAGCATGCAAAATCAAAAAGATAAGTTTGATCAAAGGATTTTTTATTTTCATAATAAGAGATAAGCTTAAAATAAACTAAATTGATTTCCTGTATAGCTATAAATATTTAAAATACTTTCGGCAGTCGAGCGACTCTCGCTGATTGCCTCTCTCTAGATCGATCGATGGATCGATCGATCACGCTAATCTGGCTATCGCGCTGGTGCGAATCTCTTCGGCACATGGATTCACGCCCCAAAAGGCGCCATGGCAACCGAACTCCTCAAAGCAACTGTAACGAATCTTGGTGCTGCCCTGCGAACAGCAATTGACAATGGCCCAAACGCACTTGGACAACTTGGGCGTGGTCTGTTTCGTCGGTGCGCTGGTCACACCTGACTGTCGACGCGGGGTCGTCCTTTGCACGACGGGGCGGCTGGTGGTCTGCGACCAAGCGGGCGCTTGCGTTGTTGGTATCCGTGCTGTGGCGTAGTAACAAGAAGGTGAATGTGAGTCAGATAGAGAAGAAGAAGCGATGATGAATCGATGATGGTTAGCAAAGTTTCTAGTTCTCATACCTAAACATGGATGACAAACAGCAAATGATCGAAAGCGTATGACAAGCGACTATAAGTGAGTGAATGAGTAAGGGATAAAAGAAAGAGAGAGAGAAAGAAGCGAATGCTACTGCAGATTGTGATGCATAAAAGTTGATTAGCAGAGTTTTCTGTTGAGAAGTGTTGAGCTCAATGATTTCAACACTCAGGAAAGGAACTGGTATTGACACAGCCACCTCCTGACAAGGTTGATTTTAATGGGGGGAGAGCATGGAGGCCTTGACGACCATTCCCAACACTAAAGTTATCATATAAGTATCTTAAGTCATCTTAAGATGTTGTAGCTCAGCAGCTTGGATCGCTTTTCACATACAAACCAGGTTCACTGACAAGCAAAGGCAGCTCTCAGCCTATTCGTGTCTAGTTACTAAAGTATGACATATTTAAGTTGAAGAGATAATGCATCACATTCCTTGATATACATAGATACATGTACCTAGAACGGTCTGAGGGAGAAACTCTTGAGTTGAAGTCATTAGCAACTGTGTCACGACTTCTTTGTGGCTTCAAAGCTGCAACTGAATTGTCTTCAAGACTAATCAATTTGGTTTACAAAACACTTCAAAATTATTGTGAACTCATAGAGTAATCATGGAAAGTAGTCAAAATAGTCTGAGTGTCTTAGGGACATACATAAGGAACATATCTAACATTAGGAACATATCTAAGGGAAATATTTAGCCTAGCTGTAAGATTCTATATAACACTAATAATATTGTAAGCACAGAGCAATGGAAGATTGTTAGATAAGTTAGCGAATGATATATGAGTGTCTTGATTCGTCTTACCTGGCCCATTATTTGGTCGTCGACCTTGAGATGAACCCCAAACTGGTGGCAACTCTGGCTCTGTAAATTGTATAAGAGTTTCAATGATTTCAAGGGTCGCTAGCTTAAGAAGGCTTCATGCTTCAGTCTTACCTTCCTCCGCACGCCAGCTGTTGCCCCAATAGCTGTTGTCGATGCTTGGGGGAACCGCAACCGGCTCCTCTGGCCTGGGCTGGTCGAACACTGAGAAGTCTGCGTCATCCGGATTAGAGTTGTGGAACAGGCTGTTCTGGTCATCGAAGCTTCCACGATTGTCAAGGCTATCGGGATTCTTGGGCGGCGCTACAGTCTGCCAGAAGACAAGTTTCCCCTGATACTTGGGCGGTTTGCCAATCGTCGGATAACTGATTTTTTTATAAATTAAATTATATAAATTTCTTATCACTCAGCGCATTGTCTTTGGAACTTACCGCTGATATTGCTGCAAGGGCTGTATGGGCAGATAGTGGGGAGCTGGCACTGGGCGATAGTAAAGTGGCTGCTGCGCTGCATAGAGGTCGTTTCTATAGAGTTGATTGTAGGCATGACGACGATGACGGCTGTGATATTTCTTTGGGTACTTGTGAAGTGTGGCCTCCTTCTTTGGCTCCAACTTTGTGTTATCAGCGTCGCTCAGTATAAGCGGCGTCTCGGGCAACACATCAAAGAGAATCTTCTCCTCCACAAGCGCTGGCTGTGCAGCGGCTTGGCCATGATGATGTCTGGTGCGCTGCGTGTGCTTGTACAGCCTCGGATAGCTTGGCTTGGTCTCATTCTTAGTCGGATCTGAAATAGTTACGCAGCTCAGTAATCTGTGGGGACTGCAAGGGAAACTAGATCGAGCTCTGGCAAATTTTTTTGCATATAGGTTGCTAGGGTAACTGAAAGTACCGCTACTCTAAGCCAAAATGCCGTATTTGTCCAAGAGATATTATCTGTTACAAAGCGATATGCCATAAGAGCTGCCTAAGTGCGAGTGAGAGAGGGAGATGCAGCTGTTATCAGCTGATTAGCAAGTTCAAGCGCTGATATCTCGGCGATAAAAAAAGATTTTAATAAAATTTAAAAACACCTTTAAAGGCAAAGGAAAGTACTTTCAGATAAGTAATAGCTAATTTTTATTAAAAATTTCTTAATGTAATAGAAACTGAAAAGTGTACTCTGTAAAACAGAATTTATTCTAAAGCAATTCTGTTCAGATTCGCTTAGCACCTCAACTCTACTCTAGCTGCTGCTGACCAATTTACTTGATGCCTTTAGTTTGTTGCTTACCATAATCCTCGTTGACAAAGTCCTCCTTGTACATGATCACCGGATGATCCTCGTGGTTGACGCCATTCACGACTGACACATGATGAATCTGAATAAAAAGCAGTGAGCTCAAGTGAAAGTTGCAACAGCGTCAAAGCTTGTCTGAATACCTCAATGTTGTCAGCGCCTGGCGGCAGTGTTGAGGCGCCGCCCTCATTCTCGGTCGACGGGCGACTCGCTGTGTGATCCACGCAGAGGGAGAGAGTCAGCAGCAGCAGCACTGAAAGTGCTTGGCAGACTTTAGTCTGTGTCGTTCGGTTCATATCCTTGGGTTTGTGGGTCTGCAACAGCAAGAGGAGAGGAGAATTCATCAGCATTCGTCAAGTTTTATTGGCTCCAACCCAATTCCAATTAGTTGAGCCCCGAAACTTTGGCCAACTGCAAATTTTATTGTGGTTCTGTTTTCGGCTTTTCGCCCGACTTTGCAGCTTGTTTTAAATTAGACGGCAAGCTTAGCATAATCATTTTTCTTTTGCCCTTTGCTTTTTTGCTACATGTTTCGCCTTGCGGTTGACTTTTGTTTTACTTTCGCTCTGACATCTGTTTTCCTTTGCTCGCCTTTCCCCACTGCCTTCGAATTATTGTGGCTTACTTTGCCACTAACCAGCATAACCAAAGTGGTCAGACTTGTTTAGACTTTGAAGTGGAGCTCGCAGCACTGTGCTTGCTTAAGTACAGGCACACACAGACCAAAAGAAATCCATTGTTTATTTTAAGTCAAGGCAAGGCATATTTAACTTTAAAAATATTTTACTTTATATATATATATATATTATTTATATGTATATATTATTATTTATATATATATATATATATTTACTTTTAGTTTTTTTAATAGTACTTGATATATTTTGGCAAATCTTTGTTTAATTTATTTTCCTTTGACCCTCTCATTTCATATTAATTATTTAATTGTTTGATTACATTTTTTGTCAGACTTTTATAATTTAATATTCTAAAGTGTGAAGCAAAAAGTTATAAACTTTCAAATTGGGTTTTTATGTTTTATTAACTTATTTTACGTTTTTAATAAATTTTTATAATTTTTAAATTTTTTGCTGTTTTTCTTATTCTTTTTTAATTTCTTTTAAGCTTTAATTTATAATGCAGCATTCTTTAAGACTGAATAATATTTATATTTATTAAGTTAAAGTCAAAATCAAATTGTTAAATATAATTATTGAAGCTTGCATTTTATAACCTAATTGTTAAATATTTTATAAAAAATATTTTATTATATTAAAATTTTATTCAATTGAAAGTTTATATTATCTATTTTTTTTATTAATTTAATTTAATTAAAATTATTTTTTTGTATTTTTAATTTTCTTAACATTTTGAAAAATTTTTTTAGAAGCTAAAAGTTTTGCATAATTTTTAATTAATGTAGAGTTTTAAATACTTGTAATTAATTTAAAATTTTTAATTTGTTTTTTGTTGTTTTTTAATTTGTTTAATATTTATGTGTAATGTATATTTTATTTAAAATTTCAACTCACTTTTATCGATAAAGAATAACTTTCAGATGAAATAAATTCAAGTAAAGTTTTTTAAATTTGTATATTTACTTTAAAGTTTTTCTTGAAATATTATTTATGTATTTTATTTTATGCCATGCTTAGTTTAATAACTTTTACTCACTTGACAGTTAAGGCAGAAAACTTTTGAAGCGAAATTAGTTTGGAAAAAAGTTTTTTATTTCTTTTTGTTTTATATTTTCCTTAAATAAATTTCGTTTATTATTTTGGTTTCTTTTGAATATTTTGTTCGTTTCGCACCGATGGCCAAGTGGAGACTGAGTCGCAGAAGGCAAAGAACAGTTGAATATATTGAAAAGCTGCAAGCACTTGAATACAAATATTTCTGATATGTGCCTGACGTATGCCCTGTTTGTTTACTGTTGTTGTTGTTGTTGCTGTTGTAGTGAGAAATTGTCTGTCAATTTTTGCGTCTCTTTTGAATTGCTTTTATGTTAGGCTCGTTTAACGTGCCTGGCCGTAACCCGAGATAAAGAAGAATAACATTTTTGCTGTATGATCATAACAGTTTTTGTTGATAGCTAAAATGTTATCGATCAACAGGCATTCCCAATCGAAGCCTGAATCACTTTATATATATTTTCGCATAAAATGCTGACATCATTGAGTCGCTTACTCAACTGTTGCTCATAATGATCTAGAGTCAACCAATATCTAAAGAGTTTATTAATTGTAGAATTATTATCAAGCATTGTTTATAGAGCTTGAGTCATAGTTCAAACATTGCTTATCAGCTCTACAAATATAGATTGCTTTAGTGATGCAAACATTAATTGGCAATGGAGTCTATGAATTATTTTTATATTTATTCTATTTCCCTCTGGCCGATAGGTTAATTAAATTTTCAGCATTACGCGAGACAAGAGACGAGGATTTATGGGGCCGCAGCTTGGCTCAGCTGCGCGCTGGCAAAAGGACAACAGCAAAAGGACGACAACCAATTAGCGTGAATAAAGCATTCAATTTCAAGGCGTGAATCTCTCCTCTCTCTCGCTCTGTAACCAGAGCCCACAGGCAACTCAGCAATACGATGCTTAAACATTGCGTCGCGAATTGGGGGAGGCAGCCCAAGATTAATTCGAGTACTTCTTACGTTATTTGCTTATGCCTAATGAGAATCTTTTATTATCAATCAACAATAAAAAGAAAAGGTATCAACAGTCATAAAAGTGAGCAATTGTGTGCAAGGCAGTTGCTACTTCCAGAACCTTCCGGTACTATCTGCAGCAGAATTTGTTATCGACTCATGTTTTATCGCCAGAAAACTTTCTTATCGCTTTATTACCACTTCTTGCTAGTTAAGAATTAGATGAACAAAATGAAAATGTATATTCAATAAAACACAAACTCGATATTTATCGATTTCATTGTAATTGATAACTAGAAGCAAACTTGAACAAACTCTTTGAACTCATCTGTTAACCCCAATCAAGAAACAAAGTTCCCTCAAATCAAGATACCCCACTTTACACATTTTCAGTGGGTACTACTGACAGATAGAGTCAGAGAGAGAGAGAGAGAACGGGGCATAAAAACACAGAGAATGTAACATAAATATGCAAGCCATAAATTGTCTGAAATTGTGAGTCATATATGCATTGCTAATACATCATTGGCATGTTTTATGATGGCATTTCAAATTTTAATTAAATGAAATAAAATATTAAATATTAAATTATTTACACGTTATGAAAACCAATTAGAATTCATAGAAAAATTTTAATTTCAAACGAAATCAATTTCGAAATAAATTTCTATTTCCATTTCCAATATGCTCAGCCACAAAATCAACCCAAATATATATGTATATATATACATATGTATATATTTGTGGTTTCTATGTATGTGTGTGTGTGTAAATAACGCATAGGCAACTTAATGCGTATGAATTGGGCTGTAGCTTGAAGCAATGGCTGCACAGGAAGCTCAAATATAATAAAAAAGCAAACATCAAAGTTGCTCAAAATCGATAAATGCAAAATAAATAATAAAAAATTCAATTTGCAAGAAAAATTACCAACACTTAAGAAGTCCATCGCATAAACAAAGATTTGCCTTGGAAATGCCTAGGCTTGGTCCACTCCAAATAGGTCAAGAATTATTATAGCCGAGCATAACTGAATACTTCATAGTCTTTTAGAACTTGAGAGTTAAAGCTATATGATACGCCTCTATGAGCGTAACATATTCTTTAAGAATCTATGGATAACCTTCACATTTCCACCTGGGCTTGGTTCACACGTCTCTCGTCTCTAGAATCATAAACAATAGTATTTATGCTGCGTGATTAGCGTCGTCTCCAGTGGGCGTTCCTAAAGGTGCTAAAGACTCTACAGACGAGGCTATGCACGATCCAACTCATATACTCGCTTTGAAGCTGCTGGCGAGTATGCATATGTATAAAACATTCGTGTTTTTTCATTGAAATTTCCATTTTTACAGCTGACAAATTGCCACTGGAGTTGAGATAAATTTTTAAATTTCAATTTTACGCACAAGAGGATAGACACTTCTTCTCTTTATGACTATGAGTGATGCTAAAGCTGTACATCAGCTGTAATATATATATATATAATTAACAGGCAAACTAATTAGTTGGGCAAACATTAATTTATGCATTTGCCAAACAAAACTCGATTCGATTCGATTCGATTCGCATCGCTTCGATTAAAGCAAGGACTTTTAATATTATGACCCAGAAATCAAATTATTAATAGAACACATGACATACATTTAGCACTTAAGTAATTGTTTATCGAGTGGCAGTGGCAGTGGAAGCACTCAATCGGATAGTTTAATGGAGAGCCAGAGAAAGAGGTGAAAATCTTTATTTTATTTTATAGTCAAGCGACAGACACAGAGTGAGAGAGAGAGCGAGAGAGATGCTGCTGCCGAGGCAGACAATGTGCAGCCAAAGAAACAACTGAGATACCTTAGAGAAACCAGTAAGAGTGTGGCTAGGGGCGACTATGGGTCAACTGGAACTGAAAACTCTGCAGCAAAATTCATAAATAAATTGAATCTTTAGTTGCATAACGAGCATGCACACAGGCATATACCCTGTCTAAGCAGCTGCTACAGTTTCAGGGTATGCAAAAACGCTAAAGGCCGAGCCAGTCAAGCGTGTGCCACGAACCTGCCTGGCCAACCTGTGGCCCAGGGCGCAGCCACTGCTGAGCTGCTCACCGAGGCTCAGCTCAGTATTTGCAAATCGAGCGGCCCTCAAGTGAGACGCTGGCATAGCTGCCAACAGAGTTTCCGTTTTAAAATAATTTAAGCTAATCTGAAAACATGGAACAACAATTAATTGGCATATGAACATTGCTAAGCTAGCAAAGCACATCAATGTCAGCTAAGAACTCATAGAGAAACTCATTAAAGGCCAAACTAAAGCTCAGCGCAGAGAAACATGCAGCGAGGTAAGACTTAAATTGCTTATTTCATATTTTTGAATCTAGCCAAATGGAATTCTGAAATCTTGATTGTTGTGCTCGAGCTCAGCACTAAGCTCGTTTGCTTACGGTTTTCATACACGTTCATGCAGTGGAAGTGGGCGTATTCGTGACTAGAAATTTTAGGCTCTGCACTGGGGAAAGAAATAATAGCACCACGCTGAGAAATTTTTCATTTAAAATTACAATTTTATTTATAAATAAATTTTATTAAATTGTATTTGAAATTATGATTTTAATTGATTTCTATAATCCTTAACTTCTCTTTGTTGTTAAATCCGAATATGCCACTTAGTTCGTTAGACACTTCTTATTTAGGCCTGGTGCTATTATATCTTTCGTCTCTATATACTCCTAAACTCTCTTCCCTAATCTAATAAACAGTTCAAATTTTTAGCCAATTATAAAGTTAAGATCTAAGGAAGTCTCTGTGTGCTTGACCTATAGACTTAGTTAGCTTAGAAAGTTGCTTTTGCATCCGAACGTGTATTATGCAGTCAGTATTGCCCGCTTGCACTGCGCTTACGTGTTTTGTCAGTGTCAGGCGTGACATGAATTTGAAACCCGTTGCCATATTAAGTGGCTTACAATGCGAGGCCATAGAAAAAGGAAGCAGCAACAGCAACGGCAGCAGCAACGGCAACGGCAACAGCAGCAGCAACAGCTGAATGTATGCGTTATCCTTGTGTCTGCTTCAATTCTATTCATGTGTCAAAGTGTCGTCCTGTCATATTCGCTTACGTACATGGAAACTGATGCCGATGCTGCCGTGTAAGGGGATCAACGAAATGCAAATTCAAACGCAAACGCAAATGCAACTGCAAATGCAAATGCAAATGCCATTTGAATGTGTCCTTTGGACAGCTAATCGGCTTTTTGTGCAAATCTGTGCGAACGTATCGTTCGTAATTAGTGAAAGTTATGCTGATGCCCAATCGATGACCGATTCGAGAAAGGTTTTTCTTCCTCATGTAATTGGCTTGTATTTTTGTGCCTTTGAAATTGTTAATTAGTTTTAATCGCTTAACGGCGCGTATACGTTATATGAGCGTTGGCACAACGCCAGATGCTGTCAATTTGACTCAATTATAATTGTTTGTACAATAATTAACAATTAATTCAAGTCGGTCTGTGGGGTCATCCATGAACAAAGTGATTTTTTAACTTGAAGGTTCAATGGTGCGTATACGTAATATGAACTTAAGTAATATGGAAGTCAGACTAAGACGAATTGAGCAATGCAAGGCTACTTCGTAGACTTCCTCTAGACAGTGCAGGGTAATGGAACTGTCTGTTCCATCAGAGCTCTTCATTATGCCCAGCCTTTCATGGTGCGTATACGTAATATGCGAGTTGATATCAGTGACGCTGACGCTGCTGCTACATCTACGACTGGTGCGTAGTGCAGTGTAAAGTGTTGCTTGCATCTTCTGCAAAAAAAGACGCTTTCCACTTCAGCATTGTTAATGAGATTGAGTCGCCCAGTGGTGCGTATACGTAATGCGCCAAATGACATCCAAAGCCTTGGCACAAAGCCAGATGCTGTCGATTTTGCGTCTTATTTATATTTTTATACCTCAGTAATTTTTCCATTTAAAATCTTTTAAAAATGTATAGAGACCATCTGACTTCGTCTGCTCTCAGTCTGTTTGCGCATATTTAATATAGATACAGAAGTGTTTGTATATAGAGCCCGACAGAGCTGCTTCTTAGTAACAAAAACACAAGCCAATCACAAAGAGAAAACATAGGTCTGCTCTACTCGGGGTTTACCCCGAACTCACTCATTTTCGGATAAGTTTATT